CTGACACACATGGAGTCACCAGGAGTCAAAATCAACTCAATGGCAACATAAAAAAAGTGTGTGTGTATATCCTATAGCGACATACCAGCTCTGGCTGCAAGGTATTTTGAATCACAAGGTTGGTGGTTCAAACTCACCAGTTGCTCCTCAGAAACCCTACACAGGGTTGCTATGAGTCAGAATCAACTCTATGGGACTTAACACACACACACCTGTGTGTATATATATACAAGTTTATTAATATATGTTAATTAAATTTATTAACATATTGACATATGAAGGGGCTTCAAGAAATTTTTGGAAGCAATGGATTTAAAAGATAATGGAATTTTTCCACAAACTTTTTGAAGCCCCCTCATATTTCTGGAAGGAAACACAGTAAGATAAAGATTGTGCTTCCATCTGGAGATACAACAAGGTGATGATACGTACTTCAACTTTCTTTTCCTATTTTTTCTTTTGTTGGGAAAAAGAAAAACAAACAACTTGAAGGAGACACAAGAATATTAATAATCTTGGGAACATTTTCTGAAAGTTTCTGTACTTTTTTTAATTTTTGAAAATCTCCAACATGACACAAAATGCTAAAAAAAAAACCAAAACCAAGGGTATTTAGAGTCCTGGTGTGACACTGTGGGATAAAGCACTAGACTGAAAGGTGAATTTGAAATGCAAGGTTGGCAGTTCAATCTCATCAGCCACTCCTCGGAAACTCTATATAGGACTACTATGAGTGAAAATCAACTTGATGGCACTTTAACAACAATCCAGAAAAACTTATTTAAGTCCTATCAAAAACATGTGACTTAATCACCTCTATAAAATGATTCATGTTATTCAGCAGTTTTCTGACATACTTAATTAACTAATTAATTAAACACAGACAACCTAATAAGTTTTTATAATGTTGAAATGCGGATTAGTTTACCTGGTTGAGAATATTCCAGGATGCATGCTAGAGTGCTACGAATCAGAGCTGTCCACTGGTTTTGAGTGTCCTCGGTTTTGGCCATTGAAAGTGTGACAATACTTTTAATTCCTTGAAGAGCTGCACTGACTGGTGGAGGAACCTGATTATCTGCAGATTTTATCGCTGTGTCTTTCAGTATTCTTGCAATTAAAAATAGAATCGTGGGCAGGATTGTCATACATCCTGAAATAGAAAGAAATTAGATTATGACACAATATATTACAGCTATTTCAATTTTTAAAAATTTATCATGGTTTATTATTTCTCTTTCCTGTTTTTCATACAAAATTTACAACCTTGCTATTACTATAATTCAATGTGCATAAAAGAAAATAAGAAAATGGCAAGTTATTTCAAAGAAGACAATACTTTTTTCTATTTCCAACTAGCCCTGTTTTCACTGCTTCCAATATTTTATCTATTATTTTATGCCCTACTTAATGAAAATGAGAAAAGAAGATGGAAAAATAGAAGGGAGACACTACCATATAAAACATCCAGGTGACTTGCTGAATCTTACAGCAATTTTAAGACATGTAATCAATCATTAGTATACTAAAGTTAGCCTAATGAAGCCAGAAAAATGAAAAGTTTATTGGAGTAAGCAAAGATAAATTAAAGACTCCTAGAATTTGCAACTGAAAGGATCTGAAGGTCATGCAATTCAATTTCCCAGTTAAGGAGGGGAACCCTTTCAGCAGTTTACCTGCACTCACTATAGGCTTGGCCTGCAAAAGCCCAGTAACAGAGAGCTGACTATTTTCAGAGATGTGGAGCTCTGGTAGCATAGTGGTTACGAATCGGGCTGCTAACCTCAGGGTCAGCAGTTTGAAATTATCAGCTGTTCCTCGGGAGAAAGATGAGGCTTTCTGCTCCCATAAAGATTTACAGCAGGCTTGCAGGGTATACCCTCTGGTCGGCTGATGATGCATGGAAGGGATTGTAACCATGGCAATGATATGATGTACAATAAAATGAATGTAAAACTAATGTTCTCTCATGTAAACTATCATATAATTCACAATAAAACACTTTAAAAAAAAAGATTTACAGCCTTGGAAACCCTCCAAGGCACATAACAACAACACAGTGACTCTGAATCAACTTGAAGGCAACTAAAAACAGCACCAGTGTAACTCCAAGAGCTAGCAAGGGATCCCGTGTGTTCAGCTGAAGCTTATCTAATAGTTCTTCAAGTTTCTGCAGATAGTTATTACGTCTGCTTTCAATCTGTTCTTTTTCATCAGCAATCATTTCTTGGATTCTCTGTAGAGTTGGTTGTCACTATTCTCTGGCATTTTTCAGTTTGCCAGCGTTGTTCAAGTGCAGCAAGTAGACCAGAAAATAAAGGCTTTAGTAATTTGACATTTTGTCTATCTGCTAAAATTCCATGTGTTCCCACAAGCTGGAGTTTTATCTCTTCACTTTAGTTTGTTTGAAATAGACTTGAAAAGGGCACCTTAGGTTATTGGTGTTCTAAATCTTTAATGTTTTGAGGCTCCTAAAAGTAAATAAACCCTTAAAAAAAAAGGCCCAACTTTTCATTTCACATTTGAGATTTGAGAAAAAGAAATCCTAACAGTGCTTAAAATCAAGGCAAGCTGCTCTTCATCTGTCATAATATGTTCCCATATACTGATCAATACTTTACCAGCAGGTGAACACAGGGTTGGTAAGTCAGAGAGTATGGTAACTGTGGCTGCCACCAAACGGGCACTTTCTTCTGAGAGTCGAGTTTTAGTAGCTATGTGACTTGGAGAGTCTGACATCTTAGTACTGAGATGTGGCATATGCCGTACTAAAATAAACATCAATAGCTCCATGGTTGCAAAGACGAGAGATTTTCCAGGAGTAAGACCACCGCTGTCACCGCCTTCTCCTAATACAGGACAGGCTTCTTTTTCCATATCATCTTCATCTTGGATTTAAAAAAAAAAAATTACAAAATTATCAGCAAAAAAAACCTAATAGATAAAACATAACAAAAGCAGTCCCCGGTTAGAAATATACATCCTAGAGTTATGAACCAACTCCCATAAAGTCTGCACCCAAACATACTGCCACTTAGACAGTTTTGACTCATAGCGACCCTGTATAGGGTTTCCAAGACCATACATCTTATAGGAGCAGAAAGCCTAATCTTTCGCCCAAGGAACAGCTGGTGAGTTTAAACTGCTGATCCTGTGGTTAGCAATCCAGTGCTTAGCCTATAGTGCCATAAGGGCCCCTTCCCATGAAGCGTATTATATTAAAAATTCGAGGTACATATATAAAGGTTCATAATAATAACTGAGTGCTACTTTGCAACACAAAGTATCAAACATTATTGTTACTATATTATGTTAATGATGTTTGGTATACCTTTAATATTTTCTATGTATATACAGGTGATATACATACATACATGGTGGTGGTGGTTGTATGCCTTAGAGTCAGTCCTGACTCACAGCGACCCTGTACTGGGTTTCTGAGGCTGTAAATCTTTACAGGAGCAGAAAGCCTTATCTTTCTCCCACAGACTTGCTGGAAGTTCTGAACTGCTGTTGTCCAGACTCATTACCACTCTCTCTATATGTGTGTGTGTATCTAAGATTGTTATTGTTGTAAAGAGCCGTCAAGTCAGTTCCGACTCACAGTGACCCTGTATAGGGTTTCCAAGGCTTTAAATCTTTGCCGGAGCAGAAAGCCTCATCTTTCTCCTGCAGATAGGTTGGAGGGTTAGAAGTGCCCACCCTGTGGTTTGCAGTCTAGTGTTTATCGTATAGAGCCATTGTGCTCCCATATCTACAGATACACGCACTAGATATATATCTAAACACACACATACATATATAAAAACAAACATTTGATTAACTGACGTGAGATATAAACTGTACTTAAATGATTTAATTTACATATAAATTCAACTTACAGATTTGATTGTAATCTGTTGTTATTTGAAAACTTCTTTCAAAAAACTTTACAAATAAAAGTCTTACTGATGCCATTTCAGACTTCTATATTGAACTTAGAACTAATGAACATTTCCAATACCAAACCATGGTATTTTCAATAACCTCATATGGATGCGAAAGCTGAACAGTGAATAAGGAAGATTGTAGAAGAACTGATGCCTTTGAACTATGGTGTTGGAGGAGAATACTAAAAGTGCCACGGGCTGCCAAAGGAACCAGTAGATTTGTTTTGGAAGAAGTGCAGCCAGAGTGCTCCTTAGAGGCCAAGATGGCCAAACCACGGCTCTCATACTTTGGACACACTGTCAGGAGGGCACAGTTGCTAGAGAATGATATCATGCTTGGTAAGATGGAGGGTCAGAGAAAAAGAGGAAGACCCCCAACGAAATGGATCGGCCAGGTGGCAGCATTTATGAACTCAAGTGTGGTAACAGTAGTGAGGTTGGCCCAGGATCGGACATGGTTTCGTTCTGCTGTGCATAGGGTCGCTATGAGTCGGTGCTGACTCGATGGCACCTAACAACAACAACAACATCACCATGTTCATTTTTATTACCGCAAAATCTACTCAAAGTCTTCTAAATTCAATTTTTAAATTAAAAATATTAAATTTCACAAAAACTCTTGGCATTAATACTTAAGAAGGTAGGACCAATGTCAAAGTTAGTGTAAGTTCTGGTGCTTACTTAGAGTGTTTCTTTTTTCTTGCAAATAATCCTGCGCAGCTCTTACTATCTGTTGTACAACACCAGCAACCAGCAGCTGGACGGATGGTGGATTGCAGGTCAACAGGAGGCGGTGCAAAACACTGAGCAACTCTACACCGATCAGCTATTACAAATTAATACAGATAAATCTAAGTTTATTTTCAAAGGTCAACTTTATATTACTAAAATTTGAGAAAATACACAGGTACAAATTTTTTTTTTCCAATTTAGACATTAGATAAAACTAATACATAAGGCTGTATAACAAATATGAATATGGCAATCTTGTGAAATACTCACATTTTATCCCAACTTATTTTCAGTCAATAAATGGCTTTATCACTTACATATTTAAATAGGTTTTGCAATCATAAACAATCATTCCCCTATTCCATTCCTCTCGTTGTTGTTGTTAAGGGCCACTGAGTCAGTTCCAAGCCACAGGGACCCTCCTGTATAGGGTTTCCAAGGAGCGGCTGGTGAGTTTGAACCACCGACCTTGCGGTTAACATCGGCATTGCAGTCCAGTGCATTAACCCACAGTGTCACATCAGGATTCTTCCTTTCCTCTACTTGGGTGAAATAGTTTTGCTATTTTAAGAGTTCACTTTCACTGAAATTTATAATTTCCAACCTACACTGAGTACACAAGAGTTTTCTATAAGAGATTTTAGGTATTTCTCAAACTTCTTCTCCTATTCTCCTCAGTGACATTACAAGCTTTGACCATCATCCACATTAAGCCCTATTCTACCATCTTCTACATTAAAAACATTCAATGAGCCTGCACCAATTTTCAAAGTAAAAACAAAAACAAAAAACACTCTGCAATCATTTCTTTCCTTAAGATCAGATATCCAGCCAATTATCCAAAGCTGATTAACCCTTCCTCTGTGCTCCATATCCCATCATACAGGGATTCTTTAAGGACCTCAATCATAAATAGGTCTTCAAAGTCTCTGTCTCTCTCATCAATATAAGGAAAATGCTCCAGTCTTTCCTATCAAGTGTCCCATTCAACTCTACTCTAAAAAAAATAAAAAAATAAATAAAACCCTCTTAGATTCCTCTATCTACCTATAATCTCCATGATCTCTGTTCTGTTCCCAGCCTAGATGCTTCCACATTCTTAATCCTCTCATTCACGCTCCCATCTCCCACAATTTGGCTTCTACTCACCTGTGAAAATATTCTCCTTGAGGTCATCAATAACCATGTGTAGACTGTTTCCTGGATTTATCTACTGAATTTCTGCTTCTTAAGACAATGTCATCTCTTCTTGAAACTCTCCCTTGTTTGCATTAACTCCACTCTCCTTTGCTTCTCCTTCTCCCTCTCTATCCATATTCACTGCTGATTTCTCTCCCTTCTCTCACTCCTTAAATGCTATCAACACCCAAGTCCTCAATACTGGCCCACTTTTTTTATTCAGTTTTCCTAGGTTTATGTACTCATTCTATCTCCTGAATTGTAAAAGAAGTCTCACAATTGGCCTCTCAATCTCCCTTTTCATTTCTTAAAAATTGACCTCTATGTGGTTGATAATGTGATCTAAAACAGAGTTAATCATGTTATTCCTCTATTTAAACATTTTAAATAATGCCTATATCAGTTTCTGGATGTGGTTCAAACTCCTTAACAAGTAATAAAAAAAAATCTGTGATTTGACCTTTCCTCTGTTGTCCTAATAATCTGCATAAATTCCATTCATCTTGGCCACAATAAATGACTACAGAGCCTCTGAACTTACTTCGTTCCTCACATTTGCTGTTCTCCCTGAGAGGAAAACCCATTCTTCTTGTGCTGCCTTGCTAATTTCCCCTGTAAGATATTATTCAACTACCACCTCCTCTGAGAAGTCATTCTTCACTTTCCCATGATAATTTGGTTCCTTGTCTCTGTTCCCATTGTAACCTTACATACAGTTGGCATAGCAATGACTGTGCTGTACTTATCTCTTAATGCAGGTACAGTTTAAAATCATCTTTAATATCTATAGCATCAGTGTCTAATGCAGAACAGGCATGGAATAAAGGTTGCTGAGTGAAGAAATACAATTTATACACATATTTACTCAAACAAACTTAAAACAATAGGATTCAACTAAGAAAAAAAAAAAGTCCATGCTATTTTAAAGCAATATGTGAATAAAGTATCAGTAAATCCAAAAAACAGCTAGGTGTGAGAGTTTAAAATAGTAATTTTTTTTTAGTTAGTAATAGTAATGCAGTGTCTGCATTCACAAATTAAATTTTATAGGCTTGACTATTCAAAAGCAACCTTGAAAATTATGTTGTCTTATTGTTGGTAAGTGCCACTGAATCTGTTCTGACTCATAGAGGCCCTGTATAAGGTTTCTGAGACTGTAAATCTTTGTGGGAGCAGAAAACCACAGATGTTTCTGGAAGAGTGGCTGGTATGCTCAAAAAAAAGACCTTGTGATTTGAAGTCCAGTGTTTATCCTACACAGTCTCCATGCTCCCAAAGGTTTTTTTAGGTAATTTATAATTAAGCCTAGGCACAGCTTCAGGCTATGAGGCTGGGGTACAAGCAAGAGTCAATCAGTGAGTGAGTGAATTTTGCAATCAAGCATCATCTCTCTTGTTTCTAATTTTTTGTTTTGGTCAACAGCAAGTGCAAAACTAATTTTGGTGCAATAAAATAACAGTAACTTTGTTTTTTATCTGTTTACTTTTGTTTTAGACAGAATACCAATGATAATATTATCCAAATAATTGGTTCTTAATATGAAAAGAAAAGAATTCTGAAATTAAAAGTAACAAATTCAGTCCTTGCTTGATTCTGTGAAATGAATTGTCCCTCAGTATTCCCTTAAAAAATTAAAAAGCTAATTCAGAAGCAATACATTAGATGAGTACTTGAATCAACGCAAAAATATTTCATGTAAGAGATAAAGCTTCATCTAACATTTTAAAGTGTTACCATTGATTTTAATCATCTTATAAAACTACGTCAGCCCTTTATTGATAGAATCCTTATCTGAGATTGTAGATATCCCTTAAACTTTTAGTTTTATTTGAGTGTTGAACAAATCAAAGAAGGTGTGCTGACTAATGGAGCGCTGCCTGGTCATTCAACATTCAGTATGCGTCCTACGTGAAGCCCATATCTGGAACACTTACTATGTTACATAATACTAACCTTATATGTGAGAAAGTTACTTTAAGATAACTTTGATTAAAACAGAGTATACAACTAATTATAAATTTTAGCAATACACTGTACCTGATCTTCTGCAATATGGATTCGGGCATAAGGAGAATCTAGCAAGGTGTGTAAGGCCTGTAAACAAGCTGTAACATGTTCAATGGGCTCCTCAGGTCTTGGGGAACAGAGAAACTGAATACTCACACCTGCAATGTACAAAATGAAAACATGGGTTTGTTCACAAAAAACACTTTCTTTTGCTTTGATATCATCTCCCCTCTTATTTTTCTTAGAGATTATTTTAACAGTATATATTGTATACTATATACAATATATACTATAGTACAGTATATATTGATGCCTTAAGAGTTGAAAACAGTTTCCAAATTAAGCATCCAAACTCAATAGATTTGAGTTAAAGATTAAAGATTAGGTTAAAGATCAAATAGGGCAGTTCCCAATTATTAATCAAATAATCAGGTTTTAAAATTTCTCAGACATTTCAAAATAATATATGAAGTGTACATTAATGAAAACCCTAAAAGAACTTGTAATTAAATGATTACCAACCAATTTTTCATGTAGACAAAGTTTTTTAGATAGCAAACCAGAGAGGCATAATACCTATACTGGATAACAACTGTTCTTCATTTGTATAATGGTAAAGTCATTGTTTAAGAAGTCTTTCATATTTTATAAGATCTACAGATGAATTCTATAAGGACACCTTACCAATTGTATTCCTTCCTTCCCACCCTCAGAAAACATAACATCACAAAGAAATTGCATAATTTGTATAAGTTCTTAAGTTACAAAGAAATGATAAATTAGGATAAATTTAAATTTGCTTTCACTTTGCATTCTATTCTTGCTCTTAACATTCTCCGCCCAATCTGTTAAATGTCGAGTACAAAGAAAATTGTCATTGACAAAGAAACAAAACAAAATTCATTTAATATTTTTTTCTTAAATTATTCAGTATTCCTCTGAAATTGAATTAGGGCGATCATTTTTAAGATTCATTTTTAATAATTTTTAGATAAAAATTCAGTTAACAATTTTTAAAGTGAGTTTAAAATTCCATTTATTATTCCTCCTCTGAATTGTGCCAAAGTAAAACTCTTCCACAGTATTAAAACGAAAGATAGGAATTTTTAGAAGCGATGCCTCTTGAAATACATTAATAGACTACACCTACCTAAAATCAGATGCATTCTGTCTTTGTTAATTTCTGGCAAAGACTTAGCACTAGAGGTTGCTACTGCTGCCTGGTTTAAAATAACTGATGTAGAACGTTTTTGTGAACCAGATATGGCTGTTGCTTCTGTTGTTTCTGAGCATGTAAATCCTGTGCTATTTAACCAAAGTGCCACTGCATGGAGGATTGGGGCCCAGGAATTCCGATAGTGAAGTCTTGCTGTATCAATAGTCTCAGGAGTATAAAATGCTCCACCTGGAAAACAATAAAAAACACTAGTTTCCCTTACAAATGGTCATGCATTTATGGACAATTTAACTTAGAACAATCTAACCAAAGAGATTCTCTTCTTTACAAGATATGTACATCAGAAAGTATACAAGGTAGGTGGCATACCTACCAGGTAGTGTTTTATTCTTTTGTATGAGGGTCATTATGTGTTGAAACCAGCTCCACAGCATGGAACAACAACAAACCTTGTTCCTGCAGCTGCTGAACTGCTCTTTCTCCCTGGAACTAGGGTTCCAACCTTTCCTGAGTGTCCACTACCTTTTCCCACCCTCTTATCACAGGAGTCATTTTTTCATTTTTGCCAGTGATAACTGGCGTCTCTTTGACCTTCTCTATCTACCATATCCAAAGACATCTGTCTCTTTTAAATTATTTCCTCTCTTCTGCTATTCTTCCCTACTTCTTATTTCTAGTTACAACACTGATAATATTGTCCTCATTTTTCCTTACAGTTACGAAGAATAGGAAAAAAAAAAGAAAGAAAGAAAGGAAACTCCATTTTTTTTTTTAACTTTGGTCATTAATGTATAGGGAGAGAGATGAGATTACTTTTTTAAATAGGAACTTATTGCACATTGTCAGAATAAGCAAAATGTTAGTGATTTCTACAGCAACTCCCACAGAAAAAAACAAACAAAAGTATAACATTTACAAACCTGAGAACTATGGCCTTTGACTACCCTTCATGTCTGGAATGGAACTCACCCTCTTGGTCCAGTTTTCAGCCAATCATTGACAGATATAGAGAGGGGACAACACTAGTAAGGTATGCTCACCATGTAATGGTCTGTCATTCAAAAACAAAAGGGCAGCATTTGCCTAACGACAAAGTTGAGACTTTGGGAAGGTTGGTGGAATGGAAATGGGAACCACAGGGAGAAAGTAGGATAACTATTGTTACATGGAAGGGATTGCAATCATTGAGATGAAACAAAGCATATGATTTGTTGAATGTAAAACTGCTGATCTTGTCTGGAAACCTTCACTCAATTCACAATAAAAAGTAAAAAAAAAAAAAAAGAAAACAAAAGAATCACCTGGGGATCTTGCTAAAATGTAGATTCTGGTTCAGTATGTTATTGTTGTGTTAAGCACCATCTTGCTGATTGGGACTAATAGCAACCCTGAGCCCTGATAGCATAGTGGATTACAAACTAGGGTGCTAATTGCAAAGTCAGCAGTAGCTCTGTGGGAGAAAAATGACACTTTCTGCTCCCCTAAAGAAGGCACTTCACAACAACAACAACACAAAGATTTACAGCCTTGGAAACTCTATACTGGGTCACGTCAGAACTGACTCAATGGCACTTAACAATATCATCTCTGAATACAAAAGCAAATTCTCAATGAGTGGTGGAATCAGAATGAACAATTTCATAGTCCTGAGTAACACACATAATTTCCATTAACATTTCATGTAACAGAACCAGTTGTATGGCTACAAGTAATTTCAAGGAGGTGGGGAAGGCAACTGGATATTGGTGAGCACTAGTAATGATTACAACCTAAACCTCTGAAACAAATGAAATAGAAGGGGATGAAAAGGCTTATTCAATGACCGGAAAAGAAAAAAAAAGTATAACATTTACAGATGGATTTTAGGAACACAATTCACTGACAGGCATAAAATATGTCATTGACCAACGTAGTAATTTACTTCATTGTGGTTATGCATAATAACTTGCGTATACATAATTTAGAGTATCAAAGTTCCTGCATAGTGCTAACAGTTTTCTTTGGACTCACAAATAAACTTAATGTTGTTATTTTGGTTCGAAAACTACAAAATGGAAAACATACTCTACGCTGTTGTCATTGTTGTTTAAGTGTTGGTGAATCAGTTTCAACTCATAGAGGAGTGGCTGGTGGGTTTGAACCACTGATATTGCAGGTAGCAGTCCAATGCTTATCCTATAGCGCCACACCAGGACTCCCACATTTCATAGACAATGTCAACAAAATCAACTTTATAGACACAGAAATCTAAAAATGTTATTAATACCACTGCCGCTAGCCTCTACCAAGTTTATTTTAATTACTATTTGGGATTCCATGAAAGCATAATGTTGCATGCAATACTTACCATCTGGGGGGAGCTGACTAGCAAATTCAGCTGGTAAAGTCAAAAGCGCATAGTCTTTTAATGCTGCCAACCATAGGCGGCTGAGTGTTGGCAGTTCAGGTTGTACAAGTGTTATTAAGCTGTCTGGTGGTAGTTCATCTATGGTACCATAGTCATCATCATCATCATCAGTATTTTTAGTAGTTCTTTTTGGTTTTGACTCAGCCTCTTTTTTAATATTCATAGCAACCACATATACCTAATAAGATATTCAGGAAAAGAAAATTACAATGTTCAAGATAAAAACTGAGATATTCTAGGTGGCTGTAATTATACAACTTCATCATAAAAAGTTACTGATAGTAAACAGTAGAAAGTATACAAGTTGATGATTTTGTGATAACCATAAAAAACCAAACAAACAAAAAAACAAGCCTACTTGCTTTGGAGAGAACAGTTTTATGTGACTTCTGACTTACTCTCTCACAACATATTTCTGAAGCAGGCTTCTCTGAGTTTTTCTGGCTTCCCTTGTTCTACTTTACAAAGCACCCTTTTGTATGTTTTGTTTTCACCATAGGGTATAACTTCCTGTTTACTGCCTCGACTTTCCTAGATTTATTAGACACAATCAGTTAGCACACAAAGAAAAAGGCTGAGGAAAGGAGTTGAGAGACGGTCCAAGAAAAAACTTCCACAGATATCCTAAACTTCTTTCTATAAAGTTTTCAAAAGAGATCAGTCTAGCATTTACAACAAATACCAGAGCCAAGAATATTACTTTCTGGCCACATATATGAATATTATCTGTATCTTTTTTCCCTTGTTTGAGAACCAAAAAGATGCATAATAGTAAGTTTCTGCAAACATAATTTTAAAGATTCATCTTCGGTGAATTATATTTGTTTGCTTTCTTATGTCTTTGTACATACATTTAGGCTCTGGCAAGTAACACATAGAAAGCAGAATAACACATCAATGATAAAGGGGGAAAAAGGAAAATACATTTTACTACATAAAAATCTTATGAAAACAGTTTTCCTTCCATATAGGGTTATTTTTACTGTATCTGATGAGGTGATCTAAGTATTCAGACAGTTTTTACTGTAAGTTTCTTGGCGATAGGGCTTGTCTTATCTCTATTTCTACAAAGATTACAAGAGACTGCATGAATCTTCACGTATGAGTAAAAACATTTTCCAACACTATCATGGTCTATAACAGTTGCTAATATTGACACCCTACAATCCAGAAATATCAGTGAAAAACAATTAAGTTTTGGAGTGGTGGTGGTGGTGGTGGTAGTGTGCCGAAAGCCTCATCTTTCTCCCATGGAACGGCTGGTAGTTTCCAACTGCCTGACTCGTAACTACTATCCTTAACTTTCGGCGTAGACACTTTCAATCTCAAGCTATAAATACATCACATTCATATTTCCTGATGATTTTAAACTTAATATATTCATGTATTTGTTATTATGTTGGCATTTTAAGAAAATGCCTCAGTGAGCACTATCTGAGTGTTATAACCTGCCAGTCTCATCAAATTCTTACTAGGAACTAATGCATTTGCTATTATGATAGGACCTAAGGAAACAGCAGCATCGATGGACTCAAGTGTGGCAACAATAGTGAGGTTGGCCCAGGATCGGGCAGTGTTTGGTTCTGCTGTGCATAGGATCACTATGAGTCGGTACCGACTCAATGGCACCTAATAACAACAACAACAACAAAGGCAACAAATATAAATAATTCAAGGATTTTTTGCCTTTCCAGAACTCACAGACTGGTGTAATTATAGGCAAGTGAGAAAGTGAAAAAATAATTTATGAAAATAATTTCTTGAAATGATCTGCTTTCTGTACTACATTGCACCCACTGTTTCAACACTCCATAGTTTGTGGAATAAATGAACGAATTTCAGGGAGCATCAAGAATAAGAAAGGCAAGGCAGTTTTCCAAGGACAAAAAGTGTTCACTTGATTAGAGACAAAAAGATGAAAGGGGGATTTCAGGGCAAAGGGCACAGCAAGAGCAAGAGGAAGAGCACAAAAACAGGAAACAACATGGCATTTTGAGGAAACTGCATTTTTGGCACAGACTGAGTGCAGGGTATAAGGTGACAGCAGCTGAAGAAAGAGCCAAAAGACGGAGAGGAGAGATTATGAGCAGCGAGTCCTGGTGTGGCGTTGCAGGATAATGTGCAGAAACACAAGGTCAGTTTGAACTAAATCCTATACAGGGTCGCTACGGGTCAGAAATGACTCCATGGCACAACAATATATGTTTAGTGAAGTAGTTACAATTTTACTTTACAGGAAATAGGGAAGGGGGTTATGTTCCTTGCAGGATTTTTAAAGCCAGAAAAATATTCCACCCCCAATTTCAATCTTTATTTTAATAATTATACCAAAAAAAGTTTGGAAAACAAAATAAAAATTTTTTTTTTAATAATCTCAATTCCCAGGTTTTCATATTCTATCACTGTAAATTATAATTCTGCTGTACAGAAAATGTTATACTTAATTTCATCCACTTAACATATCATTAGGACTTCTCATGTGAATACTAGTATTCATAATGATTACACTTGGTGGCTGTACTGGATGACCCATAATACATTGAATCATTGTCCTATAGGTGAAATTTTATACATCTGAATGTTGACTTAACTTTAGGGTTGTGAGAAAGATGTTACAGTTTTCAAAGACAAAAAGGTATCTACTTCTTCATGTTATAATGTTGCAAGTGAACATTTTTGTTCACTTTTTCCTATTCTGGATATTTTCTCTAGGATAAAGTCATAGAAATGGAATGATTAGGTTAGGGTTATTAATATTTAAGTGGTTAAAAATGTTGTTGTTATGTGCCACTGAGTCAGTTCCAACTCATAATGATTCTGTATAGGGTTTCTGAATGTGTAAACCTTGGCATGGGCAGAAAGCCTCATATTTCTCCAGCAAAGTGACTGGTGGGCTCAAACTGTCAATCTCATGGCTTTCAGTCCAGTGCTTACCCTGCAGAGCTACCGTGCTCCCCATGTTCTGAATAGGTACTGCTAAATGCTTTCTAGAAGGGTTTTCTATTTTATACCACTTCCTATAATATATGGGAATATATTTTTCAGACTTATTTATCTTAGTAGGTATTATCCAAGAATAATACATATTTTCTATTAAAAAAGTAGCAAATCAAAATGAAAAAAAAACAAAACAACAAAAAACCCACCATAATCTTACCACTCAGATGTTATATATATACGTATACAGTCTTTTAAACTGCACAACAACAGCCATATATGTGTAGTTTTCAATTTGATATGACTGACATTCATTTACATGTCACCATCATCTCAGAATTAAGAAATACATTTCGGCAATTTCCATGTTTGTTCATTTTTTGAAAAATAACAATAACGATAAACATCCTTGTAAAAGAATCTTTGTATGCCCTTAAATATTCCTTAATATAAATTTTTAATGAATGTGCACAGTTTAGAAAGTGTTTTGATACGTATCACCCTTTAGAAAAGTTTTACTGATGCCAATATCTTAAAAAACATATTAATTTAACTGGAGTATACGTATTATATTTCTTTTTCAGCCATATGTTTATGTGTGGCTTTGAATAACATTTATATGAAATGATAGCACCATTCACAATATTACAATATGCAAACAAACTAAGTGTCCATCAACAGATGACTGGCTTAACATAGGGCACATAGACACAATGGATTTCTATGCAAGGTTAAAAAGTAATGATGAAACTGTGAAACATGTGATAACATAAATGAACCTGAGTGAAATTATTAAATCACATAAGGACAAATAATATATGAGACTACTATTATAAAAAGTCAAGAAAATTTTTAACCACAGAAACAAACCTTCTTTGAAGGTTAACAGAAGTGGGACGGCAAAGGAGGATAAATCACTAAGTAGAAGGCAAATATGTATTAACTTGGGTGAAAGGAAAGGCAATATACAATAAAGAGGAGAACAGCACACAAAATGTTTAAAGCAAAGAAGATACCGGGAAGAACACAAGAGTTAGAGGCAATAAATGTAGTATTATTACATGTACAGTTCTGTGGTAATAGTAATAGAAGTAATATATGAGTGGATACATACATGCAAGCTGAACAGATGTGAGAAGGCAAAATGGGACTATACCCGCAGAAAGACATGGGTTTAGTAGATGATACTTAGACGTATGTATTCATACAACGGGTTTCAAAAAGTTAGTGGAAAAATTCCATTATCTTTCAATACCATTTTTCCATGAACTTTTTGAAGCTTCCTTCCTGTATATGCTGTAAATATATCCATAAGTATAGTACAGCACGCTCGGGGCAAACTTATGAAAAATTATTTCATAACCAAATACCTTCAAGGAATAAGTCATAGAGGCTGGGGGTTTAGAACCATAGTCTTTGGGGACATCAAAATGAAGTGGCATAATATAGGCCACAAAGATGTTCTATATCGTATTTACTGAGGTCTTAAAAGATTGTGAACAGCCAGTCATCTAATGTGCAACTACTGGTCTCTCCTTACACAGAGCAACAAAGAATGAAGAAAATAGAAGATGCATGGGAACAATTAATCTAATGGAGTAGGTGTGTGTGTGTGTGCGTGCACACAAATCTCAGCCTACATTACCCTGAGACCAGAAGAACTAGATGGTGCCTGGTTGTCATAACCAGCTAATCTGAAAGGGATTATATCAGAAGATCCTGGGTAGAATGTGAGAAAAATGTATAACACAACTGAAAATCATTAAAAAAAAAAAAAGACTAGGCTTCCTATGTGATAGAGACTGGTAGAACCCTTGAGCCAATGGCCCTTACACACCCTTTCGGTCTGGAACTGAACTGAAGTCTGTGGCACAACATCAGACAGGCCTATACAGTGTCCTGGTATGCCGCTGCAGGATAAGCACTGGACTGCTAACCACAAAGTCGACACTTCAAACCAACCTGCCAGACCCTCCTCGAAACCCTACACAGGGTTGCTATGAGTCAGAGCTTATGTGACTGGCACTCAACAACAATAATACCGTGCACAATACACCAGGGAAGTATGCACTCTTTAGAAAAATCAACCATAAGAGAACAAAAGAGCAGCATTTGCCTAGGGATAAAGCTCAGAACGGAGGAAGGGATAAGAAACAGGATAAATGGTGACAGTAAACACAAGGACAAAGTAGTAAGAATGCTTTCACATTTTACAAATTGTAATCAATGTCAAATGTGTATGAATTGTTAAAGGAAAAAACCAATCTGCTCTGTAAACTTTCACCAAAATCATAACACAAGTTAAAAAAAAATTCTAATACTAATTTACACAAAAGAAAAAAGTACCAAATAAAACATGCATCAATTTAATTATGTATGGTCCTGATCTAAAAATTTTAAGTAATTATTTATCTTCCATGAATACCAGACATAATAGTTGGCGTTTTTATATTCCTTTCCTTAGGAAAAAAAAAATACTTCCATATTGTAACTTAGGTGAAAGGAAAGGCAATATACAATAAAGGGGAGAACAGCACAGAATTTTTAAAGCAAAGGAAAATCAAGGCTCTGAAAGATCAAACCACTTGACAGTTGACCAGTTAGTTATACAGGTGCTAAATTCTAGAGACAAACCTTGTTCTTAGGCCCTGGACTCAATACTTAAACATTTTTAATATTTTAGAACAATAAACTTCCTAGAAGGTGAATCAAGCTCATTATGCAAGTTAGCCGATAACTAGATAACTAACAAATTATCTTATGATCATCAAACTACAAGATGGACTCTACATTTGGGAGAGTTAATGAATGTGGCTGGAGAATTAAGGACAATTTTGGAGTCTATTTAAAAAACCAGCTGGGATTTAATTTCTATAAGTAGGAGTAAGTTTTAGCTAAAAAGTTAAGATACATGAAAAATTAGCAAAGCATTTGTATTATTTTCAAAGTGAGAAAAAAGAACATCCTAGTATAGTAACCTTTTTCTTAATAATACTCTCCATATGAAGCTAAAGATTTGCATCATTTGAGAAAAGTAAACATTTAATCAAAAAGACTATCATTACCTTTCTCAATAAAAACAAAACACATTATTCTACTTGTCTAAACAAAAAATTGCAGCACTAGACAATTAAAATAGACACTTAAAATATTTTTGTTTAGACAAGTAAAAAGTGTAAACTTAGTGACACAGAAAGGAATAAAGAACTACTAGAAATACCTAAGAGCAAATTATAAGAATGTAAAAGCAACTTAGAGAGGAATTTAGAAAGTGAATTTAAAACAATAGAATCATAAAAAAATAAAAGCAGCAGATCTTCTGTTACGAAGCAACTCACACTAAAGGTTACTTTTTAAAAAGCAAAACTCAAACTAACAACAAAAAATTCTACCAATAGTAGCAAGGGAATATTTTCTCATGTTTGAAGAAAATGGTCACAGTTACCTCTGCCCATGCTTTGAGAACAGCTAACTTTTCCATGGTGGTAGCGCTCTCTCGATACAGTTGGCTGGAAGATCCTTTTCCGGCCTGAGCTTTATCCAAAGAAGACACCAGCAGATTGTGTACTCGACGGAGGTCATTGAGATCGCTGACAACTCCACTTCCAATCCAGGTACTACATACCTAGCCAAAGAGAAATTAAAAAAAACCCAACTGTATACACATTAAAAAAATAACACAGTAATCATGGTGTGGTACTGTATGATAAAGTGCTAGACTGCAAGGTCAGTTTGAACCACAATATCGGCAGTTCAAATTCACCAGCTGCTCCTTGGAAACAAAATGAGTTGGTTGGAACTGACTAGACAGCGTTTAACAACAAAAATATAAGAGAAATAAGTAGAGAAGCTTTTCTTTTTTGGGGAGAAGAAAAACAAAACAAATCAATGAAATAAAAACAACAAAAAAATCCCAATACCATGACTTAGTTTTTTTTTTGTTGTTGTTGTTTTAATAATGAAACAATAGTGTGTATTTTAAGCATAAAGGTTCTATTGCATTCTTATGTGAAAAAAACAAAACAACACATACTTATCATGCTAAATTAACAAAAGTTTTAAAAGGATACATTTCCTCCCAATATACATTTATGAATGCTTACCACAGGCTCCATGAGGTCATAGTCTTGAAAACCCTACAGAGTAGCTCTACTTTACACTGAGATTGCCCTTAGTCAGAACAGACTCAATGGCAAGTAACAACAGCCCTGGGAAGAAATACAGGGAAGAGAATACCAGTTCCTGCCCTCAAGTAAGAGATAATATATTGAGTGAAAACCTGAGAAAATTTAATGACTGCAACACTATACTTTGACCCTCCAACTTTACCAAGTAAGATGTTCTTCTCCAGAGACTGGTCCCTCCTGAAAACATGTCCAAACAACGAGACATGAAGTCTTGCCATCCTTGCTTCTAAGGAGCATTCTGGTTGTACTTCTTCCAAGACTGATTTGTTTGTTCTTCTGGCAGCCCATGGTACTTTCAATATTCTTCACCAATAACATAATTCAAATGCACTGATTCTTCTATGGTCTTCCTTATACAATGTCCAACTTTCACATACATATGAGGCAAATGAAAATACCATGGCTTGGGTCAGTCTCACCTTAGTCTTCAAAGTGACATCTTTGCTCTTTAACACTTGAAAGAGGTCTTTTGCAGCAGATATGCCTAATATAATATATCATCTGATTTCTTGAAAGC